TTTTAATTTAATTTTAAGTTCTAAAATAAGTCATAGTTGTCAGGCAAGGTAAGGAAACTGGCACAACTCTTCTAATTCTTATAATAATTTTTTTTCCTTTTGCCACCTCACAAAATTCCAAGCAAAATGTCTAAATAATAATCAATGTTAGTTTTCAAACATTCCACTTCCATTCCCTGACACATAAGTTTAAACATTTATTTTAATTATAAAGATAACTAAGCAAGTTAAAAAAAAATAAAATAGAAGTTGGTGCCACCTAGAAAATAGATCTTTAAAGTCAACCTTTTTTTTTCTTTTGCTATGTACAAATTGACTAATAGTCCATCTGATAAATACACCAAGTCTGTTGAATCAATGTGTTGAACACTGATCTTTGGGTTTACGTCCCTTCATTAATTGCACAAATTCAAAAACCACTCAGTCATTGTCGTCTAGTGGGAACAGACTCATGGGTGACCCTAGCCAGGGTTCTCCTCTCCGCACCACCTATAAATTGCAAGTGATGAAATTACCCATCTTTCTCCCACTGAGCTGCTAGTGGATTTCAACCACCAGAGAGGCTAGCCTTTGGGTTAATGCACAACCTCCTATGGACATTGTTGTTGTTGTTGTTGTTGTTGTGTACTATGGAGTTGGACCTGGCCCACAGTCGATGCTCCAGCAAGTTTTCAGAGGCATTGCCCATCTTTTTCCTGAGCTTAAGCTGGTGGATTTGAGCCAGGCACCTTTGTATAGGCAGTGCAATTCCTTACCACTAAGCCACTAGAGTTGCCTCATTGACATTGTTATTGTTGTAGTGTACCTTCGAGTCAGAATCCACTCATAGCTGACCCTCCAGTAGGTTTTCATAGGCAGTTTAATGGCATGGGAGGAGATGGCCCATCTTTCTCCCTTGAGTAGCCAGTGAATTTGAACTGTGCACCTTTAGAATTGCAGGGCATCTCCTTACCACTAAGCCACCAGAGCTCTCTTAGATAATCTATTTAAAAGAGATCTATGTCTTTAAGGATCTACTTTTAAAATTGTAAATGTTTCTGGGTCACTAATCAGAACTAAGATTTCAAAGAGGGCTTCTTGTTTTCCAAAAGGTCACAACCAAAGATGGTGGAAAATTAAAACCTCAGGGGTTTCATTAGAGATGCTGAGGTTTTATTCCGTGGTCTGACATCATCATCAACTAATCAGCTTCTCTCAAGTCTCAGCGATGTTTTTAAAATTTAGAACTCACAATTCTTCGTGTAAATTGTATTTTTTAAAAAAAAAAATTAGAAACCATTTTCTTGGACCCAACTTGTGCTAATTTTCTCCACTTTGTATGTGTGCGGTGGTTCAAACTGTGAAGGATTGTAATCTGATGTAACACTGAATTAGCCTCTATTCTTTGCAGCCACCTTCACTGGCTTCTGTACTAGAGAAAATGGAATAGCTGAAGAGGTGCAAGACCTCTCTAGCAGGAGGCCCTGTTGGTGGGCAGGGCTGAAAGTTCCTTCACGAAGAATTCCCTCTCTACCCTGCTGTGTCTCCACGAGGGTTCTTTTCTGATTCCACGTAGCCTAATTTTTCTTCAAAAGTTCCTTGGTGTAATCCATTTTGTTTGGTTTGTCTGTCTCCCTCCCCCCAATCATCTGGACCCAATTTGCAAACCCCAAACTGCCCAAGAATTTGTGCTGGGCCTTTTGTGGGATCGTCTGGAAGGGAAGTGTAAACCAGACAAGACAGCAGCTAGGAGCTGCGCAGCTTTAAGCCGCGAAATCAGTCACATCTATCAAAGAGTTAGCGACTGAGGCCTCATACAGCGGCAGTGCATCCCAGCGTCCACAGTATATGGGGAGCAGAAGGAAGAGCCCACAAGATGGGCACAAAGGCTGCAGCCCCTCGGAAGGTGTAGGTTCTCATTCAGTCTTTCCTTCGAGCTGGGCCCTAGATCAGCAAGAAGATGCATCTTGTCAGGCACAAACTGCGCCTCTCGCCAGGTATTCAAGCAGGTCCACACTGACTACGACAAGAACAGTGATGGAAACCTTTAGCCTGGGAGTTCAGTGGGACTAGTATTACCTATGATGAGAAGACAAACACAAAGCCTGACCTCTCCCCTGTCTTCCCAGAGCTCTGAACCTAATGCCAAGACAGGGGGTAAGGGAGACAAGCATTCTATCAGCCATCAGTTTCCAGGGCCATTTAAGAGAGAGCATCGAGTGTTTTGAAGCTAATTGCAATAGACACCATTTCCCAAGATCTCCTCTCCTTAGGAGCTTTCCTCCTCATTGAGTAATTGTGAATGTGTGCTCCAAGAGGTGCAACCTTTACAACAGGAGAAGCCCAGAAGCCAGGCTTCCAGGAGTCAGAGGAGAGTAAGTGAGCGCAAGCCCAGCCAGGCTCCGCGGCACGCGGCTGGGAAGCACATGTTCATACAAACACAACCACAAGGCGGTCTTTCTCTGCACCCCGCCTCCGCCAGCCCTCAGCTGACACCGCCAGTTCTGCCCTCTGCCCTCCCTCCACCTACTCTCCCGAAGGGAAGCCTCGGCAGCAAAGACCACAGCCGCGTACGCCCCTCCCACCCCCGTAGCCAGAAGCAAACTTGTGTAACCCACTGACCTCTTCTTAGGAGGACCCGGGCTGTCAGCCAAGGGCGCACACCCACCATCCACGCTCTTTACCAGTGAGATGGGGGTGGGAGCAGGTACAGCGCCCCCCAAAAAACGTAGGGAAAACCCCTTGGGGTTCGCCCCTACTCTCCCCTGGAGAATTGCCCCTCCCCTGCCTGCTCCTCGTCCTCCAGGCCACCCAGTCGCAGGGACTGGGGTGCACCCTGGGCCCAGATGGGCAACATGGTTATCAGGCTGCAAACCAAAGAGGTGCTCGCCACCGACCAGGTCAGTCTGACTGCTTTCGGATGTCAGCGGTTCTGCAGACAGACACCCTTCTTCCCCACAACTCTGTCCTGTTCTCTGCAAGCCCAGGGGACCACAACATCCCAACAATCTTGGGGCTGGATTTTCCGAGGAGCGCCCAGAGATGAAGGGGACTTCTATAAGGGACAAGGGTGCTAGGGAGTAAGGACGGTGGGGACCAGAGACCGGGAGGGAGTCCCGGGCAGCGACTGAGGAGCACCAGTAAGCTTGGCCTTCAGACCCCCAAGATTGCTTTACACAAACTGAGCGATCCACTGGCAAAAGGCTCACTTTAAAACACGGTATTTTACAAATTGAGAAGACAAGGGGAGGATGCCTCGGCTGTTCGCTGGCTCCCAGCTGTCCAAAAAACGTGCCAAGGAATCAGACCACTTAGCAGCTAACAACCTACTAGGAAGACCCAGAGTGTTGAGAGAGGAAGACTGCTCACACCCCTGCCCCCGGCGGGTGGGCTACTTACGTTTTTGTGGTGGGCGAGACTTTTCCACGCCTTGTTCTGTGGGCTCCTAAATGCATTTGTATGCATTTGTCCCTGCAGCGAGGCGCTAAAGGAAAACAGAAGCCAACTCCGAACTGCTAAAGGTGCTGATACTGTCCATGAAAAGAAGGGGGGGGGGGGAATCACATGAGAGCGATGCTCCAAAGCCACAATGAGAAAGGGTGGGTAGGGAGGGAAGGAGAGGGGAATGGGACGGGGCCAGTAGTGGAGAAGGAGCACGAGATGGAGAGGCAGATGTCTTCCTAGTTCCCTAACGCTGCACAGGACATGCCCAGGGTAGCGGTCCCCTCGGAAGGGAGTGTGAGGAGGCAGCGGGCACCGCCAGCAGCAGGAACTGTGCTACCAGCGCAGCCTTCAGTTCACTTGCAGTTCAAAGGCGACAGAGACTCCAGAGGAGTCCTTTGCTTGGGGCCTGGGAGGAGAAAAAGAAGGGGGAGGGGGAAGGAGATCCCGAGGGGAGGAAGTCTTTGGAAACAACCCTCTCCCCAACATTTGTCAGACAAGCGCACACACCCACTTCGGAAATGTAGCTGATGCGAGAAGACTGGTGGCAACTGCAGGCGCTGGAGAGGACTGCCGCCGGCAGCTTCCCCTGGAAGAAGAGGAGCCCAGCAAATCCGGCCGGTGTTAAATTTCACCGCTCATTGACTTGCAATGACATCACCAAACAGAAAGCTCACCTCCCCCTCTACCCCGCAACCTTCCCCCACTTTGGCCCGCTCCAGGACAGGGGCCCTTGCTTGCCAGCCCTACCCTTCGGGGCTGGGCGAGCCACACCCGGGGTGCGAAGGCACCACCCAGACGCTCTGCTTCCCACGCGGCTCTCTTCATCAAAATCTCTGAAACTTGTAGGTGACTAGTATCCTACCCACTTTTCAATAGTCCACAGTTTGAGGAAATGTCCTTTACCTGATTTAATTTCCCATCCCTAATCTTTATCCCCACAACCTTTTTTTCTGCTACCCTATTCAGCACATGAAGTCCTAGGCTCCTCTCTGAGCTACCTGCTTTTTAGTTACGCTTGTGCCTAAATTCATACTCGTTTAATAATTGACTGCAACATTTCTCATTTCCATTTTTCTTCTCCTTACTGTTTTCCTTTCCACATTTTACGACTTTCTTCCAACTTTTCTCTCCTGGAATCCTTCTACTTACTCCTGCCCCTCTCCAGATTACACAAATCAGCAGTGATGGTCCCTCCTGAATGTATTTTAAGAGCATGCTAAGATAAGCCTAAATGCACACCACTTGACCAATTTAAATGTTTCATAGAACTTGGGTAACAAATGTACTTTTACTTATAAAATCTCCCTCACCATAGTTTTATGTAAGAGTCTACCAGTGAATTTTTGCACACAGCGGAAATAAAGTTCCAATCTTTTCATCTTTGTTGTTGTTATGTGTCATGTGCCTGATGCTTATAGCGACCCTATGTACAATAGCCCTCAACCCTGATCTATCTTGAGCCAATCACATTGTCTCTGATACACCTACCCCCATTTCCCCAGTCACTGAGTTAATCCATCTCATTCAGGGTCTTCTTCCTCTCTTGAGCTGTCCTTCCACCCTTCCAAGCATCATGTCCCTCTCCAAGGACTGGTCCCTCCTGGCAACATGCCCAAACTATGTGAAATGGAGCTTCAAAACCCTTGCCTCCAAGGAGCAGCCTGGTCTCATCCTCTCCAGAACAGACCTGTTTGTTCTCTTAGCAGTTCATGGACAGTGCTCTTCTCCAGCACTACAACTCAAATGCATCAATTGTTTTTCATCCTTGTCATTGTCCAGCTCTCTGAGGCACAGCAAGTAATTGGGAAGATCTTGGCCTGGATCAGGGGTGCCTTAGTTTCTACACTGACATCATTGTCCTTTAGTACTCTTGAGAGGTCCATAACAGTAGATTTTCTCCAGTGCATTTCTTCTTTTGATGTCCTGGCTACTGGTACCAAGAGTGTTAATTATGGAGCCAAGTTTGGCTCAAATATCTTACTCATTGCTATATTTTCAAAACCTAAAATAAACCAATTGCCATTGAGTATACTTATATACTTATTTATAGCACTCACATAGTACCAAGTAGATGTCCCCTGAAAGGTTTCCAGTCTGTGATCTTTATGTGCACAGATTACTAGATCTCATCTAGTGGTGCTACTGATGGGTTTGACCTGATCTTTGGGCTAGTACTTAAGCTGTAACCACTTATGGTACCACGACTCCCTGGTACAGGACCTGGCATTGCTGTTGAAGGAACATCTTCAGTGTCACTGAAAAGCATTCTCCAAGTTTTTCTTTTCTACTCTGTGCACCAGCCAGAGCTACTGACTTTTCTATATACTGAAAGGGATATTGTTGTTATGTTGTTGTTGTTGTATTCACTACAACTAATAGCAACCAAATGAACAATGGCTCTGAACCTTTCCCTATCCTGAGCCAATTTCACCCTCTTCCATATATCTAACCCCATTCTTATAGTCACTGTGTCAATCCATCCCATCCAAGGTCTTTTCTTGCGATGACCCTTCAAAGCATGATGTCCTCCAAGAAATGATCCCTCCTGACAACTGTCCAAAGTATATAAGATGGTATTTCAAAATCCTTGCCTCCAAGGAGCAACTTTGTTTTATCCTTTCTAGGACAGACCTGTTTGTTCTCTTAGCAACCCATGTATGTTCGATACTCTTCCAGCATCACAGCTCAAAAATATTGATTCTTCTTCTGTGATCTTTAGTCATTGGCCAGCCCTCAGATCATAACAAGCAATTGAGAAAATCATGACTTAGATCAAACTCACCTTCCTCCTTAGACTGACATTTTTGCTCTTTAGCATTCTGGAGAAATCCTTAACAGCCAATTTTCCCAGTGTAACTCTTTTGATTTCCTGACTGCTGGTACCTAGGGTATTGATTGTGGATCCAGCAAGATAAAATTATTAACAACTTTAATCTCTTTTCCATGGGCCAGCGGACCAATTGCTGACCAAGAACCGGCAACTTCTAGGCCTTTCTGGACGTTGTAATACTACCTGGATGTGGAATACGTGCTACCCATGCCATTATATCTGTATGCTTGCTTGTCCCTATGGTCTGTTCTTAGGGGTATCATTTAGCTGTGATTTTCTTGTATTGAGCATGTGTTTTTGCATGTTGCTGCTCTTAATACTTTCGATATGTGTATGCTTGCTTGTCTGTCATGTGCTTTTTTGGGGGTACACTGCTTATCTGTCAGATGCTGTACTAAAGCAGAACCCCTAGATTAAGACAGACTAGGAAGGACTGCCCATGCACTTCTGAAATAATAGGGATTGGAAAATTCTATGAACAACAAAGCACTTAGACTGAAAGTGATACTACATATCATATTATCTACAGATAAAACTGTTCTGTTGGAGAAGAAAGGGCAATCTTCTCCACACAACCCACTGGAGGATCAACTATGGGTAACTTCTGACTCAACAGTACACAACAACAATAATAACAACACTAACAAAGCACATATTATAAAAATTATGAGACTATTGAGATCATTTTGATGAATAAAATACAATTGATGTAACATTCAAGCATGATCATTTTTATTGCGATTTCTGTAAATGAAAGTTTACAGAAAGATTAGATTTTATTCATTCATTGTGACATGTTTTCCTTTCTTCCCCTCTTATCTCCCACCCAGTCTACTTTGTAATGTATCTTTTGTTTCAGATTGTTAATTGTCATACATGTTAGGCCTGATAATATATTAATTTCAGATGTTCCTTCCCTGTTCCAGTGCAGTGTTAATTATCCACTCTTTTCCTGTTCTCCCTCACACACAACATGTCAGTCCTATTTTATAACAGAGGTTTTATGAAGTATTTGTGCTTTTGTGACTTAGATATTTCAGTCAGCATAATATCTTCAAGGCTCACTCATGTTGTGTAATATTCTACAAGTTCATTATTTTTCAGTGCTGTATAATATTCTATTGTGTGAATGCACCACAGTGTTTCTATCCCTCACCAGCAGAAAAGAACAAGCAAGAGAATGCTACTTGTCCTTCAGGACCAGAGACTCTTGGACCAACCAAACTGTGGCCTATGGGAGCAACAGCCATAGTAGCCACAGCAGAAAAATCAGAGAACTGACATGAGAGAGAGTGGACTCTGGGACTGTTTTACCATTAGGCCAGAGCGAAGAGCCTTTTATCCACGCTTGCTGGAGGACTATGAGTGGTGGAGAGTCAATGTTGCCAGGACTGAGAACTTTCTAACACGGGCACAGGACTTAAAGCTGTAAGAATTAAGGCTAAGGCATCCTCAAGAATATTCCAGAAGCTATCTTGTATGGACTCAGAGCAGATTATCCGTGAGGCTGGGCTCTATGAGGAGAATTGTGGCATCAGGATTGGTGGAAGATCTATTAACAATCTG